CCACTGGGCTAATAATACCTTAAAATGCATCCATAGGGCCATAGGGTTCCACTATGCGGTTTAGAGGTCAAGGTTTTAGGGTTTAGGCTCCTCCAAAAGCCTCTCCAAAGACTTGGCCCGACCTCCCAAAGCCTCTGTAAAGCTTTAGCCAAGCAATAACGGGGTACCTCCAAAGCCACTGTAAAGGTTGAGCCAAGCAATTACGGGATACCTCAGGCTCCCAAAGCCTCTGTGAAGCCTTTGCCAAGCAATTACGGGATACCTCCCAAAGGCTCCCAAAGCCTCTGTGAAGCCTTTGCCAAGCAATTACGGGATACCTTCCAAAGCCTCCCAAAGCCTCTGTGAAGCCTTTCCAGTAATTCGCGGCCCGCCCCCCTTCGGGGGGCGGGCCCTCTCTCTTTTTTAAAGAAATTGGACGGGTACGCAGTCTACGGCTCAACCAACAACAACAACAACAACAACAACAACAACAACAACAACAACAACAACAACAACAACAACAACAACAACAACAACAACAACAACAACAACAACAACAACAACAACAACAACAACAACAACAAACAACAACAACAACAACAACAACAACAACAACAACAACAACAACAACAACAACAACAACAACAACAACAACAACAACAACAACAACAACAACAACAACAACAACAACAACAACAACAACAACAACAACAACAACAACAACAACAACAACAACAACAACAACAACAACAACAACAACAACAACAACAACAACAACAACAACAACAACAACAACAACAACAACAACAACAACAACAACAACAACAACAACAACAACAACAACAACAACAACAACAACAACAACAACAACAACAACAACAACAACAACAACAACAACAACAACAACAACAACAACAACAACAACAACAACAACAACAACAACAACAACAACAACAACAACAACAACAACAACAACAACAACAACAACAACAACAACAACAACAACAACAACAACAACAACAACAACAACAACAACAACAACAACAACAACAACAACAACAACGGCAACAAAGACAACAATAAGCATGAACATGAGTAGAACAACAACAATCGGAATAACATCAATCATAAACAACATCAATCATAAACACAAGCGATACAGCGAACAGAACAAGAAGTTTATGTGAGGATTAGTTTGCTCGTGTATCTCGCTTCGCCCAAAATGCCTCGTCGTCCCAGTCCTCCAGAACAGAACAGAACAGAACATAACTAAACCCTAAACCTTAACCGTTTACACTACAGAACAGAACAAGAACATGAAGCTAGAACAGCACAAAACACCTTCGGGGTGGAGAGCAACCCTCTGAATTGGCCGCCAGACTGCCGGGATGCATGCGACCACCTGCCGCTTCCACCGGCGCCATTCAGGATCAGCTTCCTAGGAATGGAGAGGGCTGAATGTTGAGATTATCAGAGTTTTTGGGGGGTGGCTTGGGGTCTCTTTCTCACGGGCTTACTATTTTGGGTACGAATGCTCAATGCGGCCTGCTGGGACTAAAAGTGGAAAATGAAGATGGGCATCCATCCATCCGCCGTCCGCAACGCCGGTCCATGGAATCCAACTGCATGATCCTGAGCAGCCCGCTGATCTCGCCGGAAACATGGACAAGAGACCATTGACTTCATGTTAGTTCTTGTACACTACACATATTTGCGCATGGTGGGATGTAGTCCAAGATAGTCCAAGTTGGTCCAAGCAACGGCGATCCCGTAGAAGATGTCACTCCGGGCTGACGACGCATTGTGAACCAGGGCAGGCCAAAGGTTGAGACCATCTAGGGGCTTGGTGCCCTGGCAGGCGGTGATTTGCACAACGCTTTGGGGCTTTCGGCTCTGGTCGCTGGCCTTGACTTCAACTCCGACAAGGCCTTCCATGATCGTCGGCAGCCAGTCGCTGGCATGAAAGAGGCCAGGGAACACGAAGCCTTCCAAAACAATGCTCCAAAATTCTCTGAAAAGGCAAGATGGTGAAAAGCTTGCGGCCCGAAGCTGGCCTTGCGGGGCCCTTCCCGGTGCATAAACCAGCGCCGTGGCCCGCGCCCCGCCCTCCCAGACGCTGCACTTGCCACCCCTGCGGAGCTCAGACGCAGCTGTGGGATTCTCTGGGATCCTCTGACCAGAATTTTCCAGGTACACGTATGTCAACGTACTTAGGGTTCAGTGTTCGACTGTGCAAACAGGTCTCAGGGCCTCAAGGGGTAGTTCGACGCTCCGTTGGGCAAGCACTCATCGATGGCACCTCCATTATCTCCAGTCACCTCTGCTGCACATGCAAAAAGCAGAAATCAGGAGAAATCGCACTGGTGCTCTGCTGGTGCTCTGCCACTGTAGTCAGGGGTCGATGACAACAGAGTTTGCCAGCATGCCGACGCTGCTCAAAGCTGCCTTAGGGCAACAAGGACTCATGATGACTCATACGACACACGTCGCGAACATTGCCATCGGGGAGCTGGTTCTACGATGCATAATCAAGGAACCCCCAAACAAATGCAGATGCCAACTAAATCTGCCAACTCGAATGAAGCGCATTGATTTTTGCAATGCCCTCGTCAACGGCAGCGACCATGGCAGCGTGGACCCGCCTGCACTGCAGTAAAGACACCCCCCTCTTCTGGGGGGATTCGGAACGAGCCTTGAGCTTGCGCATAGCATTCCCGACAAAAGGAACTGAAATGGACCACTTCTCACGGCTCACATTCGGGAAGCCTGGTTTGGTTGGCGATGAAGCTGAACTGGGCCAGATGTCTTCGTGCCACTTCAACCGGATAATGGACATTCTGCCATGCCTTCCAGGTTGCTTCAGGCTTCGGGTCAGGTTGCTCAATTTTTCTCGTACCGGCGCATTTTGGAGTGAGGCATCTACCCGACAGCAGGTAAGCACGGGCACCTGGTAGAGAAACAGCGGCTGGCCCGGGAAGAAAGCGCTATGGCCTGCTGAAGCACCAGGGAAAGGGAAAGGAAACGGAAAATACAAATATCGAACTCGCCGAATCGCTATGGAAACTTTTCAGTGCTTTAAGTTGTCTCCGGAACCAAGACATGCAAGCAGGGTGCGTTCCCTGGGTTTGCTAGGGCAACATGTTGCATTTGAAGTTCTGAGCTTCAGTGACGGCTTTCTTTCGAAACTGGATCAACCCTTTAGGGCTGGGGGATTGGGTCGGGGGTTCCACTTAAAGGGATCCTGTAAAGGTGCCGATAAGAAAAGCCCATTTCAGCCAGCTCAATGCGGCTGCGCCACGCCGGATGAGACGCTCGGCCTCCTCTGTGAAAAGTCGTGTCGAGTATATTCCGGCCTTGTGCGAACGGGGGCTGCCAGCGTTACGTAACGTGGAGTTGGGGAGAGGGTTAAGGCGCCAGCTAGCGTGTCTTGCAAGCTGCTCACGGCTTGAACCCTAAGCCCTACTCTCAAACCCGATGGATCTTTCTCACGTCATCTCTCTCCTTTCCCCCTGGCAAAGCGTAGAGCTGCAAAGGAGGGTGCATGCGAGTCATGGACTTTAGGGTGTCAACTCGAAACCCTGCCATCAACCCTCGTTACCAGGTGTTCTGTTGGTGTGGGCCTCGCCTGAGCTTCTCGGAGCTGCGTGGGAGAGGGCTTCTTTGAAGTTTGGATAAGTTTGGCCCCAAACATTCCTAAGCCCTTGCCCTGTTGTGCCCTGACATTCACGGTTTGCCTGTCTTGCTGTCCCAGTGGCGGCCTTCCAGTCCACCTGCGAGCAGCGTCTGCCACACTTCGTCTTGGGTTGGCGATGAAAATCGTAGAAATCCCACAGCTTGTGTGAGAAGTAGCCCTTGCACAGGCGCGGAGGCACGGCGACACGCAGCCAATCTCGACCCCGCCTGCGACCCCATGTAGTAGCCGTAGAAGCTGTCAAAGCCTGCACAAGAAGTGTCCCCCAAGGCATCACAGGCACATCTTGCTTAAGAAAAGAAACTGGACAACTTGCTCCGAGCCTCGAAAAGTGGGTGTGTACTCCTTAGGCTCAGCTTTTAGGATGTAGGTGAGCGTAGAACTTGAGGCAATCAAAGCCCATGGACAAGCGCTGCGCCCACTTGCAGCGCTCACTCCCGATGCCAGTCGAGTCGCGGTGCGATAATACCCCAGATGCCACTTCCCAACTGCATGCGTCTTGTAGCCCTGCTCCTTCAGCTTCTAGGATTCTAGGATGAGCACCATGCACCCAGGAACGGACCACAAGAGTTGCTCACAGCCAGCGCTCCTTCAAAAGGGTCGGCAGCAAGGTCTCGTCCAGCGGCAAGCTCGGCACACGCACTGTTTCCCTATGTTCTCAAATGGCCCTTCTCTCAACCTAAACCCTAAACCCTAAACCCGAAACCCTAAACCCTAAACCCTAAACCCCTAAACCCTAACCCCTGCCTCTCCTTCTTTGCTAACTTCTTTCCCGCAGCTTTTCCACCAACAGGGCTTTACTTTCACGGTGGCTCTCGGCCGGCACCGAGCTTCCGGTTAGGCGCGGACAGGGTCCCGAAGCACGCTTTCCGCATAGGCAGGAGCAGTATCTTCGGCTCCTCCAAGTATCGATGTGCGTGTGTTTGCGTGTGTTTTTGCGATACGGAGGACGTCTGGAGCTCCAGCGGCTGCAAATCGCGTGTGGTCTCCCACTGTTTTGGGGTCCGCAGTGGCATAATATTTGATAAGCGCGTCCCCTCTCTACATGTTTGGTGGTAATGTTCAACTGACTGACAACAAAGAAACACCAAAAACAAACATCCAAAACCCAGTACGTCTACAGCACGACTTTTTCAAACTCGTTTTCGGATCATGTACAGCATCGAAAGACATTAATGTCAATTGCTTAAATTCCATGACAAGGTCGTTCTTATTGCTGCATGACTTGGTGTCCATGAACATTTTGTTTGAACCGTTGCGGCCCTCTCAGCATCCTTCCGAGAAAGTATGCTGCTCAGAACGTTGGAGATTTGCGTGTGATTTGTACAATTTGTACAAGTCAGCAACAAGCGCACTGGCTCTTCCTGCAGGCTTGTGAGCCAGGATTAGGGGGCTCCGCCGCATGCTTCCCATCTCTTGCTCCCCATGGATTCACTAGCCTTCCTGCGTTTACCCATGTCGCCCGTGTCGACATCGCGACACACCAGCACTGCGGCTACTGCTGCTTCGTGGCCCGACGTTCTCGAACTTCAGCTTCGAGTTGATGCCATGATGGATTGGCAGCCGCCTTTGTCAAAGCAGCTAGAGCTAAAACTACTTCGTAAATCTTAAGGCCTGCATCACCCTGTGCCCCAAGTCATCTAAGTCACCCTGTGAGGAAGGTAGCTCGGCTGGGTGAGCATGTCGGTAGCACGTAGTAGTTGTCGAGCGTTATGCCTTGCACAGCCACAAACTGCGAAAACCGGTCTGCAGAACACAAAATGCACAATTAGCACGGCAATCACTGCTCTCCACCTCCGCGGTGGAATGAGTCCAACGTTGGGGTGCGCATCTGACTGTTCCGGAAGCCAATATCGTGGTAGCCCCAGTCGTCGATGACCTGACGACAAGCACTCGAGGCGTCTTCGCTTAGAGATTCGGATTTGCACGTTTCTTCTTGATGGTTTTGGCTAGGATTCGGGCATGGAATATGATGTGAGGTTTGTTCCCGCTGGCCAGAGCGAAGCAAAGCAGGAGCCATGGCACCATTGGCGGCCCTCTGCGGCCGCTTGTGTGAACTGGGGCGGGGTGTCAAGGCTATTGAGATGTTGGGATGCGGAAGCAAGATGAAACAAGGGCGGCATGCTTTGCGTTCAACATTGGTGTGTGTGTGTGTGTGAGATAGCTAGATGGGGACTAGCTGTGCGACATTTCGAGCTGGCTTTGGGAAAGAAGGAGCCAAAAAGGCAATCATCTGTGACAGAACCACGTCTCGATGACAAGCTCCGTTCTGCCGACGATGTTCCGAAGCGCGGCTTCTATGATTTGCAGATGCCGTGGCACATGGGGATTGCTCTAAGTTCGGGTGACCGCTTGCGAGGCTCTCACGTATAAGAGATTCTATTGTAAATGGCACCTAAATATGGGGGACCCTCATCAAGGGCCGTACCTGCCAATGACGCGGCGCAGATCTGGTCTCCTGATAATGGGTCTAGTCTTTAGGTCTCCTTCCCCTCTGACTGTTAAACCCAAAAGACGCCCCCAACATACTAGAAGTATACCTTTTTTACAAGGTTCTCTCTCTTCTTGTTCTTTGTTTGGGCTCATGCAGGACAGCACTTGCAGCTTACACCTTGCAGCACTTCTGCAATGAGGACACAGGATCCTGCTTGGAAACTTGTCATAAAGCCAGAGCAAGATGTCCCGGATGAAGGGCCATTCTGCCTAGCAAACAGGGCAGGATGTGGAGCACTTCACACATCTTCACATGTCGCTCTGCGAAACGAGTTGCAAAAGAACTGATGACCTCCCGTCCAAGGCTTAGGGCTTGGAGGGGGTTTTGTTCAAAATCTGGGTCCCGCAGATTCCGTTTTGTTTATCTTCGATTCCTGAAGATCCCGATCTTCAGAAAAACACAAGATTTCCGCCTGCTGGGCACTGCCGTCGGTGCGCGACGCGAGGCTCCAACACAGCTGGGGCCCCACCTTCGGGTCTTGAATCTCCCGGAGCTGGCTTAGAGCAGTTGAGCGGTTTTGGGGTTCCAGGGGTTGAGGAGTTGAAGATGCAGTGTTTGGGAACTTGGGAGTTTAGGGCATGTGTTATTGGAGAGTCTTGTCGGAAGCTGGTGAAGATGGCCATGACTTCAAATGGCAATCTAGCCGCGGAGAAGGGCTCCTGCAAGTAGAGAAAGCTGGAGACCCTGGCCGTAGAGGCTTAACGAAGATTGCCTCAGAATTTCAGCAAGTTCCAGGCCAGAATCGACATTTGCTGGGGCTTCCTATGCTTGATCCCTGAAGAGCCAAGCTTTGCATGAGAGCCCTCGTGTGTCATGTGAAACGCAGCCCCGTGTTTGAAACAACGCGCGCTTGCCCTACTCCCACAGCATCGATTTCGCCACATGCAGCATAGCAGCACAGAGAAAGAACGGCACAGACATGCTCGACCCGCGTACGCCACCCGTACGCCACCCGCATGAACCAGCCTAAACCTTCTAGAGACTCCAGCCCAAGCCGTCACCCAAAGCCCCGCAGTCTCACCTGCTCTTCGGCTTCTGCTATGTCGAACTCTGGAGCTCGAACAAAGCCCCTGCAAGGCTTCATGTTTCAGCCGCTCCAAGCAGTAACATCTCCACGAAGAGCAATGTCTCCAAAACCTTTTCTTGTATCAGCTATATGCCTTATGTGCGAATTCTGGCGACAGCAGCTGAAAGTCACAGACCACATTGCGGCACAGTCTCCAAGAGTTTCCAAAACCCTTTCACGATGTCACAACATGGCAGAAGTACCAGAATATCTGCTGCACCTTCACAACATACGGTTGCGACCTCGGTCGCATCTTGGGCTAGCCTTGGCCTTCAGATTCTGTTTTGCGCTCCAATCGCAGCCGTGAAGCTCCTGGGTTCTCCAAGAACACGCCAGGGACAGCAGCTTGAAAAGATCCCTGGCGCCAGAATACGCAGGATCGACAGGCAGCCGGGTGCCGGAAACTTGCCGGGTGCACGAGTAAAGCTCCGCAGAAAATGCGAAATCTCTGAACCTGGTCACATATTCTGGCGGGCGCAAATGCAATCACCCAATCCAAAGCCCTGCAAATGTTACGAAAATACAAACTCTCTGGGGACATGCGATTCACGAAAATACTTCCGAATGTTACCAAGAACGAACTAACGCACCCCTTCAAAAAAAAGAACCCAATGCTGCAGCTCAAGGTCCGCACTCGCCAGTCTTGACCAGGCCTAGCAAGGCCTGCGCAAAACTCAATACCCAGATGGCGAGAACGGCGAGGATGCCATACATGTCAAGCTAGCCAAGGGTGTTTGGACATGTTGGGGCTAAAGGCTGAGACGCGAAAGACAAGCACGGCTGTCTTTTGAGCGACAGGGAATGTCTCGAGCTACAAGGGCCACTAGCTTTTGCCAGAGGCTCACGTCATGTTTTGGGCTAATCCTTGAGTCCTTGCCAGGCTTTGCTGGCACCTGAGGTCGCAGCGTCTCAGAGCTGCATGCGCCGCTCTTCCGGCAGCTCCGGCAGGTCGAGCTCAAGGGCTTCTGGATTTGCACCACTTCTTGGTCCTGGCTGCCCTTGCTCAACTGTCCCATCCGAATCCGACAACTTGGGCAGGTAACCCTGGGACTCCAGTTCCTGTAGAAAAGCTTGCACGCGGGGGACATACTTCTCCGGCACACCGCGCATACAGAGGCAGAAGCAAGAACCACACATCGCCAGGCAACAGCAGGAGAAGCAGAGCATGATGCTCGCCACTACAATTCCCAGCACACGCTGCTCTTCGGAGACCTGCATTCTCGGAGTCACGGTATCATCTCGACATGGCGACACGATGCGGCCCTACATTGCCTGGCTGTGCCAGAGCTCCGGAGCAATAATGCAACATACCACAACACTCTTGCCTTTGCTAGATGTCGACAGCGGCATTCATGTGCCGGAGTTGATCACCTTTTCTTACATCTACGCATGAGGCGACTCGATTCGATTGATTGGGACTTGGCGATAACGTGCTGCGGAAGCTTCGGCGATGGCCGCATGATTTAGGAAGGGACCATGCCGCATCACCCAGCCCAGCTTTCTCCGATGCGACTCGGCTCGCTTCGAGCCTCCCACGTCACCGCTCCAGTGGTTCTGTAACTCCGGCAACGGTGGCCACAGGAACACCCGGTTGTTGTGAAAAGTCGGGGATCTTGCAGCCAAGCGCCACAGACACCCGAGAAAATTGGCAGCCCCTGCTGTGCTGCTGAATTGAGGGGAGGGTCTCGAAATTCAACCGTCGTCTTTGTCCGCACTCCGAAAAGATGCACCGATCCCACTCGGTAAAGAGCCGTGAAGTGGGAAAAGCGCGAAGGCATTAACGGATCTCAAGAAGCCAAGAGAGGCCCCTTTGAAACAGCTCTCAGTCTTGGGGCACTCTCAGGATGCTCGAAGTATCATAACCTTAGGGTTTAGGGTTTAGGGTTTAGGGTTTAGGGTTTAGGGTTTAGGGTTTAGGGTTTAGGGTTTAGGGTTTAGGGGTTCTCAATGAGGACCCGAATCACGCTTCTGAAGGTCCCTACCCCTACATGGGGACCCTCCTCATACTAAGCAACCCACGCATGGACCACGACCATGTGAGGAGTGGGAACAGTTTAGGGCTGCGAAAAAAAATCGGATATCGATGCAAAGAAGGAGCCGAAAGATCGGGCTTTGGTCAGGAGGGCATCATACGTCGCCTCAGCTTACGCTCTCGTCCAAGCTCTCCCCGAAATTGTGCATGATTCACTGCGGAGCTGCAACGCAGATGCGCCTCATCCACGGTTGGCGTTCTGGCCATTATCCAGATGTAAGACTTGTCTGGCACCCCGATGATAGTCGTAGAGTAGTCCTCCCAGCTCACACTCGCGGACCTCTGTGAAATCGTCTGACCATTTTTGTCATGTGCCATTCTACTCATCAGCAATCCTCCGCACAGTCCGCTATCAAGTAAGCGATCCTCAAGGGAAGGAACACACCTGGCCACGGCATCAATTGAACGTTTTGGACTGCAAGCCCTAGCAACGACACAAGCAAATCAATCCCAACTGCAACATCAAACATGGCCTAGCTTGGGCGAGATGGCCCACTGTGTGCATGCTTCGTTCACCACCTGCAAGACGCAAGCCACGAAAAGAACACGGAAAAATAGAAACATAAAAACACACACACACACATAAAAAAAAAAAAAAAAAAACAAAAAAAAAACACACACACACACACACACACACACACACAAAAGAACCACAGCAAGAACAAAAAGACTCTGAACAAATGCTGATATTCCAGAAACGGGGGGCCTCAGCGCGCTGCTGGAGGAGGGCCGGCTTGCCGGAGCCCTGGAGATCCGAGGGGAGGAGGTTTCAAACACTTTTTAGGGGGAGAGCTCGGTTTAGGGTTTAGGGTTTAGGGTTTAGGGTTTAGGGTTTAGGGTTTAGGGTTTAGGGTTTAGGGTTTAGGGTTGCAGGGGCTTGGGGGGGGGAGGGGGGAAAGGAGGGGGTAGAGGAGTGAAGGCTTCGAGTGCGCCATCATGCGCAGGCAGAGCATGGCAGAGCCTTGCACTGTGTGGCTGTGGCCGCAGGCCTTTCGGTAGGTGAAGTCGACGTGCACTGTCTTTCCTTTCGTCTTTCACATGTCCATGGTGTCCACGGCACAGGAACCGGAACACTTGCTTCTGTCCTCCTTCATCCAGCTTGTAGTTCTCTATGTTGTGCGTTGTTCCTCTGTCGAAGAAGGTTGGGATGTTGGCGATGACCTTGATGCGATGCAGCTGCTGTTCAAGATCCTCGCACTACAACATCAAGCACAGAACAGCCCATAATAGAGAACTCTACTGCTAGTTCTCCACGGCACGTACCACGTGCCCATAAACTTTGGCAGATCCTGAGCCCACTGTAGAGTGCCCAACCAAGAAAACAGAGACGCACTAAGGCACATACACACGCCACGCTTGCAAGCACTCGGGTAGTTGCCGTTCTTCAAGTAAAAGACAGGCGGCGATCGGCGAGGACATTGCCGTAAGTGGCGCAGAAGCCACACGCAGTTCTGAATCGCGACGGCCATTGGCCCAGTCCTGCGGCCACACGCTCAAGAAAAAGGTGAGATGAAAAAAAAAAAAAGCTTGCAAATAATCATGTCTCTTAGCCTCAAGAAGTCGCATCATGTCGGCAACCTCACCCGGAGAGTTCTTCGTAATCGTCCCCTCAGTGAAAAAGGCACCTTTGCTTGAGAAAGGCTTGGCGCCCTCAATCCGACATGCATCTTCATGTGTTGCTCATAACATGTGAAAGCCAGTGAAAGCACCCGTTCGTGAACAACGCTCACCAAACCTGGCGGATTTCCCGAACGAGCCCTGCGATCTTTCACACAAAAGAGCCTCCCATGTGCTTCACCTGCGGTTCTCGGTCCAAGTAGAATGCACCAGGCTCGATGCTGCTCGTCTCTGCCACGCAGAGCCTCGTGCACATAAGAGATGATACAAGATGCACAGTTCTAGCCCTGCAGAAAGATTTCCAGAATTTAATTTGTGTGCCAAGGCGCCAAATTATGCCTTCAGCACCCTGCCAGGTGTTTCGCATTGGCTCCAAGTAGGATTTGCCTGATGCACAAAAGAATGCCCGTCAGTGCAACATCTGCCGGAACGCCCCGACTCATGAATCATGAAGTATGAGACATGCGCATCCATCCCTGCACACCCTCAGAATGCCCAAACCCCAAATCCCCCGGCCTTACTCCTAAAGGGCCCTCCCGCACCCTGAAGTCTCACGGTCTGACCAGCTGCTAGAGCCATAGGCTTCCTCCACAGCCGGTGTAGATGTCCAGCCCGGGTGGCAACTGACCACCTTCACCTGACGGGCGAAGCGGAAAACATCAGCATAGCTTGGCATCGCGCGGCGAAGCGGGATCCAGGGCTTCGTGGGACTTCATCTTCCACTGCGAAGGTCTGCAAGGTGCAGGGGATGTTGACGCAAACCTCCGACCTTGGGATGGAGCTCGGCCCATTGCTCGCAGAGCAGCACCTGCCCGCGCTTGGCGTAGGCGTAGGCGAACCTGAGATACCCTCCTCCCCTCCTCCCCGGTCTCTGGATGGGAGCACACGGTGGTTGTTCTACATTAGGGTCCACTGATACGTACCCTTTTGAGATAGGAACCCTCAACAAAGACCCGAACTTAAAATACCTCAAAGACAACCCCCACCCCCCTGGATCTAAGCTATGGGCTCTCTGATGAAAAGTGTGTCCCGTTTAGGGCCATTTTTTCATTCAGGACCCAGGATGTAGATCAACGCCCATGCAGGTTCATCTGCTTGCGTTCAAGCAGCTGCCCGTCGTACTTCTGTGTGCCTCCAGGGTGCATGCAAAATGCTGCAAAATCCTCTGGCTCTGGTGCACTGGCGGCCCAGCAAGGGACGTAGAGCCAGGGGTTTAGCACACATAGGGAACATGTTTCTGAGGCAGCAAATCTACTGAAACAAAGACGGTCGCGCCAAGAAGTGCCTAGCGCCCCTTTTTGATAGCAACCCTTCACCTGCCCTTCAACCCTTCAACCCCTAGCCTGTTGAGGTGGCGTCTTCCCACTTGGGAAAGGCGGTGTTGTACATGCCACCGCTGCTGACGACGATCTCAGCACAAAGCCAGCTTCCAAACTCTCCGCCCCACTGCACAACGATTGTCCCACTGGACTCGCATGGGATGGGTTTTGCGGTTACCGGGCGCTCAGCCTCAAAGCATGCACAAATTTGTTGAAGCCGGGAACATGCCCTGAAGCCTAGAACCTGTCTTCGGCGTACAAGGCTTTTGGATTCAGGGTCCAGAAACAGACTGGACCGCCAAAGCACCCGTCATACTGGCCTTTCGAGAAGAAAAGCAAGGCGGCCTTTGGGATACTTTGGGGGTTCCTGAACACCAAACCCTACACCCTAAATCCTAAATCCAAAATCCTAAACCCTAAACCCTAAATCCTAAACCCTAAACCCTAAACCCTAAATCCTAAATCCAAAATCCCTAAACCCTAAATCCTAACTTTCGTTGAACACGGAATTAAGCACCCGGCCAGTCGCGAGCCCTCTGTGGCCTCCAAGACTGGCATGGCCAGGCTGCCCAGCAGGTAGGTGCCTAGGGTTTAGGAGTTTAGGGCGTAGGGCTCAGAATTTGGGGTTTAGGAACTTTTTGCGCAAGAATTAGCAAGGAGAGCCATAGCGACAAGAAAGTTTTGCCTCGAACCTCCCTTCCTTCAAGCGAAGCGATTTGACAAACTTTGCAGGGATCATCTGGGATTGAGCAATCCAGAAAGACTCTCTGGAATACAGTGCAAGGATGTCTGGGTGGTGCACTCCAGCGCCCCGCTGCTTAAGCCCAAACTGCTTACTGCAACCCTGAAACCTAAACCCCCTAAGCCCTCAACCCTAAACTGTAAACCCTGAACAGCAGGGGCCGCAGCCGAAAAGGAGGTGTGCGGCGAAGGTCAACTCGATGCCTTCTGAGGTCATGGTCTTCGTGTTGGCCAATGCGCCTGCAACGCTCAAAAGCTGTTTCGGGCTTTATAGACCTTGCGAGTAGGCAAGGAGTAGATATTACCTGCATACATACCTGCATGCCTACATACGTACATCCATACATCCATGCATACAACCATACATACACACATACATATGTAAACCTAGAGGTGCATAAAGTAACATGTATATATGTAAAGCATATGTATGTGCATGTACATGTACATACAAAAATCCATAGTTCTGTGCATATGTATGTCGGTACATATGTATATTTGTATATGTGTATAAGTGTATGTGTGAATGTATGTATGCATGTATGCATGTATGCATGTATGCATGTATGCATGTATGTATGTATATATGTATGTATGTATATATGTATATATGTATATATGTATATATGTATATATGTATATATGTATATATGTATATATGTATATATGTATATATGTATATATGTATATATGTATATATGTATGTATGTATGTATGTATGTATGTATGTATGTATGTATGTATGTATATACATGTATATGTATGTATATATGTGTATATATGTATATGTATATGTGTTTCTATGTGTAAATGCATATATGCATATATGCATATATGCATATATGCATATATGCATATATGCATATATGCATATATGCATATATGCATAAAGACGACCTTCAGCCCGGGCCTGCGTTGCAGACCAGACCATCGAGGCGAACACGGGAGGGATCGTCACCTAGGCACGTGTAGATAGGGCATACTCCCCCAAAAGGCAACCTTTGGAATGGGACCCCAGAAAGGTGCGACATCTTGGAAGGCTGAGGTTCGAGCTCTTTGCCACGCTGTGCTCGCAGAAATCGTCCCAGCAACGGCGAACTTCGCTCTGCATCGAGGCGTTTTGGCTATGAGGGCTGAGGGAAGTCGGACAAAGGACCAAGCTGTGAGGCCTCTAAGCTGCAGTCAGCCAAGAGAACATGGACACGCGTCTCTGCATCTCCTGTCTTCAAACTTAGCGCAGGAATTTCGTTGAGATCTCCCTTGCATGTTCTGTCTCTGCCCGTTTGGCATTCCTCCTGCTTGTGCAACGATACCAGCTCGTGCAGCTTCTGCTCTCTCTGGACTGCGGCACAGCATGTACACCGTGGCACCTGGAGCAAGCACAGGACGCGTCGTTGTTATTCTCCTTCCTTGAAAGCACACATCTTGCACCTTTCGTTGCCAGAAACTGCGCAATCTCTTTGCCAATACCAGAGTTCGCACCGGTCCTCCGCCAATTTGGCTTCATCAACAGTCAGAATGCAACCTCTTGGAGGACCAGTCTTCGCATTGCACTACACAGATACTTTCTCCCACACCCCCTCTCGTGCTAAACACACTTGCAGCCGACAGTCACAATGTATACTCGGCCAGTGAGATCTAGCGCAGTCTCCAGCAAGTCCTGACATCAGCAGAGTTGCCATACGCTTTGAAAAACTGCAGAGACCTTGAAGGGTCGACATGGGAAGTTTCGACAAGAACCACGTGCGCGAGTGTGCGCTGCGCATGCCAGACGGTGCAGCGCCACAGCATTCTGATTTGAACCCACCAACCGGGTCCGGCTTGGCGTAGCTCGCTTGGTGCATCTCCCAACCACTGCTGGTAAAGTGGCGTTTGCCATAGAGGTAGAACTCAGGGCAAACAGTTTAGCGTTGCAAATCAGGTACACATGCTGAAGAACCACCCCATCAAGAAATCCGCCTGAGTGGAGGTCGCAATCTGCCAGAAGCCCATGATACTCTCAAGGGCGCAGGCTCTTCAGCTACCGGCAACTTGCAATCTGAAGCCAAGGGCTGAACTCCGGCTTGCCAGCACAGTTTAAGGTTTAAGCTTCTCTGAAAGCAGGCTCTGAAAACAAGCCTTTCCTTTCCACTTTCCGCACAGCTTCGTTCCTCACCTCGAAGTCGGCCCCCACTTGGTCTGGAGTTCCCTGGCAACTCATTCGATGTACTCGATGTACGTGCACAAAAACATGCACAAACACGTCACAGCAACACATGAATCAACGAGGGGGGATGGGGAGGGCGGACCTTGTTGGCCCGGATGTTGCTGATGTAGTCTCGAGGCTCCATGGCACCAAACACGCTGCGAGTTGCGTGACTCTCTTGTTGGGGCGCATATTCCACGTGGCTGAGTGGTTGATTGTCAAGCCCTCTTCGGCGCATTGATGCACGGATGTGTCTCTTTCATGCCGCGAGAGGATGAATGATAACATGCACCACTGTGGTTCAAAGCAATTTTGGTCGAATCCACATGTACTAACGAAGCTTGATGACAAACAGTGATACCGGGCATGCCTCCAATGACATATGCGCCCGTGCACTGCACCCGTGCTTGGCGCGATTCCGTCTCTTTTTTGGTCATCTCACTTTGCCGCCCTTTGGGCGTACTCCCGCCAAAGAGCAGCGACGGCTTTGACGGCTTCACCTAAACATTTTCTCACAAGTCGAAAACAGCTGCCCCCCCCACTGCACACACACACACACAAACACACATACACACCCATAACACAAAAGGCAAACTCCAAACCGGAAGAAATTGTAATGGAAGGGGTGTCTCACAGATCTGACCTTACGAGATCCCTGCGTAATTGCAGGGATTTCCAGGGTGCCCTGTCAAACATGCACATGCACTAACTCACGGAAACAGCATCCTGCACGTTTCTAAACACAGTTGCAGCTCCGGCTTGAGCCCTTGAAACCACTTGCAGAGAAACCACTTGCTGTCGGTACCATGCGCACGTCCCAGATGTTCACCGACTCGGCGCTTCAATGCGCTGCTGAATGTGCAACACTTGTCGGTATGCAGGTACAAGCTCAGCACTAGTATGGCGCGACACATGCGCAACTCGAATGCCCCACGACGCCAGAATGTTTTTTAGGTTAGAATCCGAGTTTACACACACAAGCTGTAAGACGTCGATGTGTCCAGGTCATGAAATGCTGAGTTCCATGAGGAAGCATATTTGTAGTAGAAGAAGAAACCACATCGAGAAAGACATTGCAAGAACTAGAGTGTATATGACTCTGAACATGCGCGGACGTGCAACAATCTGCTGGCTTCACAATGCCACCATTCTCCACAATGCCGGCACTTGCTCCAACTCACTAGCTGCAGGCCATTCTGTTCCATGAACACAAACACATCTGGTTGTTGACTGTTAACGAAAAAACACATCCTCCAAATCAGAATTCTGATACTCACCAACAATGACAAGAAAGAGTTACAGAATTCCCATTAGAGTATGTCCTAAGCAAATCATCAGCACGTACGCGACCAGGCATCTCTGACCGCATCACGGCAATTGCGGCTGGGCTGCGTGCGACGACAACATGATCTGATTTCCAACCCCGCCTGTTTCCAGATGCCAACTGCTCGCCAACTCAACCCACAGTTTGATATCAGATTGTCACGATTGCAAAAACAACTCACAACAAAGACTCCGGCGTCGTCACGTTTTGAAACACTGCAGGTACCCCAGGTTGATCAGACCTAGCTTCCACCATCATGCACAGCTTCGTTGGCATGCGTGTGCGTTGTGGCCGCGTGCCCCCTGCTGCTTCGAAGGAAAAACGAGATTATAGCATCATCCCATGTGTTCATGGATGACCCACACACACACCTTTTGCAAGGCTCGTGTTCCAAAGTTGCACCTGTGCTTAAATGAGCGCTGCCAAGACGTTTTGGTGGTTTGTCAGAACTATTGGACTCTTTGGTGGATGTCTGCCACAAAATTGAATCTTGACATAGCTGAGTCAACGTCGCATTCTTCTTGCATGTGGTGCGGTTGTTGAGCAGATCTCCTCGTACAAGACCACTCTGGGTCACACTTGCCGCAACGTCTGCTATGTAGACTTATGCTTGTTGCAGCGGGTTGTGAGGAGCATGTTAACTCTGTTCGCAAGGTGCTGCTCTCCGTGGCGGTGACGAGCTTGACAAGCTGCTTAAAAGCCATGGCATGCAGTGTGAAAGATGCGGCTGATTTACAACGCGTTGCAAATAGCATCGCAAAGTTTGTCACGTCAGCGCAGGTTCATGGCCAAGACAGGTGAATGCCTAATTCTTCTGGGAGGATCCGATCTGTGTGTCTGCGATCGCATACGTGTAAACGATCGGCGATCTTGCACGATGATCGTGCACGATGATCTGGTGGGTTTGTAATGCACGCGGAAGCACTTTGGCACAGACTGTTTGGTTCCTTCCATCCAGGTCTGACCTATATTGATCAAAGCTCGGGTTAAGGTCATCACGTCCTCTTCTTACCAGGAGCATTTGTTCATAGCTGGTCTCACAACAAACAAGGGCTGCATTGGGCTATACTGCTTGGAAATGCAAACTGGGTTGATCATAGAATGCTGAAAGCCAGGGATCAGAAGCGCCTAGGCAAGAATGTCTGCTTGCACAGCCCAGGCACAAGCGCACGGAAATCTTCGAAATCCTTTGGTCACCAGGGCTACAACAGCCTCTCTACACCTCTTCTATACATCATTGACCTTTGCGTAGAACTCATTACACTTGGACCTGAAACTGGGCAGCCTACGAGCTCCTGACCATCAGGCATCCGCTCGAGCAAACGGTCGATTCTCGATTGGCTCTTGCCCATGTCATGGAGAGCTTGTGCAAGCTCACACTTCCTCACGCAAGGCAACACAAAACCATACTACGCTCTGCAAGCACAAAAGCCTCAGAACGTTACAAGCGACTTCTTTTGTTGTGGGCCCGCTTTCTTCTTGCTCCAAATCCCGAATCAGAACGCAAGCGCAGGCATTGCGTTCAAGCGACTCGAGCTTTCCACTGTTATCCTGGGCGGCTGAACAGAGCTACACACAAGACAAGCAGTGTGTCAATATTGGGGCCTGAACAAGACCACCAAAGACACCCAACGTCCTCAAGAACCCCCTCTTTTACCCGGCGAGCTTCGACATCGATCTTATCGAAGGCATCCCACAGTTCGTCATCGCTGAAACCACCTCGCGCAAGTGGCAAAACAGGGGGTGGGGGGCATCTACTTGGAGTGTACCCTCTCGACGCACTTGTGAGCAGCCGCGTGGCAGCCTGCCAGTCTTCCCTAACCTGGATACTCCCAAAACCCGGAACCCTGAACCCCAACACTCTTCCCAGGCACCGAAGAAGTCAGAGATGGCGTCCGTGAAGGAGTGGAGACCAGGAAAATCGCGCAGCCATGAAACTTTGGGCGGCTTCGTCATTAGCCTGTAGGGAAACTGGGGGTTTGGAAATATTGGGTGCGTGGGGGCTTGGATTGCTGAGCAAGGTTCTGCGATACCGGGCCCTCACACAGCAAGCAAGGAGCTTAAAGGTGTCAAAGTCCACACCATCTTCGCAGGGCCATTTTCGAAGCTCTTTGTCAATCTCAGCGTGGGATCTTCCCAGCTGCAAAAGGGCCTGCGGAGTTGGCATATTGAGGTTCGGTCCCCCATGGTTCCCCCCACATGTCCCGAGTTCTGAAGCCCTTAACAGCATGGTGCCATGCCTGCTCGATCTCCTCTCTAGACAGCTTGCCATTGCCATCGGCATCTATGTCGCTGAACATGGCCCGCAGCTGCTCCTCTTCGCGTAGGATGATGACAGCTACAAACTTGACGAACACTCTCCCTAAACTAAGTTGCCCCCCCGGCATGGCAGAGTGGAGAGTGGGGGAGGGGGGGTTGACGAAAGCTTCACAGAACCCTCGACAAGGCCCCGACCCTCCCCAAGTCTAGCCTCGCGGTGGAAAAAGTCCAAAACACGACCAGCACAAGACTCTGGAAGCCCATAGTGCTAGAGGACTTAACAGCTCAAGCTGGGCTCTGAACTCAAGATCCTTGGAGGGAGTTTGCGTGAACACTCCTCCCTCAACCCACCTCTAAGCGAAGCGGCTGAGATCGACGTTCGGGTTTTCCTAGAGAGTTAGTTCGGTGCTTGGTATTCAATGGCATTGGACTACAAGAGGTAGGTTCTTCAGGAAGTCAGACGACATCCTGAATAACCAGGTGAAAGGTACATACCTGAGAGATTCCACAGCCGGTGGGCAAAGAAAAGTCTGGCTGGTAGAAAGACGTTTTGGTGTTTAATCCGTCCAACCACAGCACCCATGACACCCTCAGTCTACCATCCTGGCTCTTCCCTTAACGACTCAACAGGTTTAGTTCACAAAGCTAGAAGCGGAAGGGATTTCGAGGGTGAACGATCGCAAGATGCGATGGATGTGACAGGTGCTGTGGTTGGTCAGGAACTAAAAAGTCAGGAAACCATGCCTTTGTCCCCTGTCTTTCTTGGCACTTCCGTGTTCTACAGATGCAACAAACGCTTTCAGAATTCTTTGCCCTCCGAAACGAAAGACATGAGCCAGTCCTCTGTCATCCCATCTGAAAAGGATCCCTGCAAAGCAACATAAACAGCAACCACTGCTCAGCCACACCGCACTGTACTCACTCCCGGGCTGTCTTTGCTTGACGTTGCTGGCAGGAAACCCAAGGCCAGTGGCTGGCAAAGGATTTCCCCTTCACCAGCTGCTGGAAACCCTCGAAGTCCAAGAACTGATCCTGCAACAGGCGACAAGCCCCTTGACACGCCTCTCTTCAAACTTTGCAAACACCAGGCAACTTTGCAAACACCAGGCTCCAGGGTCTGAAAAGTCATGTTGAGTGCTGGTGAACGGGGAGTGGCTCGCTCCTCGGGCAGGTCGCTCACCTGGGAACATGCGAGGGTTCAGAGTTCAGGGTTGCAAGCGCAACGAAGAACGGCTAAGGCACCGGCCAAACGAGAAATCTGCTTCTGACTCTTTCCAAGCTCGCGCAGAGCGTCTGAAATCTCCTCTGCGCACAACCGGAAAAAGAACCCTGAATCGTATTAACCCTCTACCGTAGCCCAAAAACCCTACACAACCCTACACAACCCTAAACAACCCTAAACAACCCTAAACAACCCTAAACAACCCTAAGCAACCCTGAACTGCTAAGTTTTGCGGAGCTCTCTGGGCACCTCGCGGCCCATCAGCTGCCCGCTGTGGTCGGTATCGATCACGTCGAAAGCATCCCGAAGATCCGCATCCTGGTCGCAGCGAGGACTCAGCAATGTCAGGGCTTCAGGGGGCTTCAGAAGGGGCTTCAGAAGGGGCTTCAGAAGGGGCTTCAGAAGGGGTTTCAGGGGGCTTCAGGGGGCTTAGGGCCTCAACATCCTTTCGGCAAATTTGAGGGTTTGGGTAGCAGGAACTCAGCGCCTGCCTTGGGGCCAATGAAGCCCAGATCTGCCCGAGCGTACGGATGCTTGGCCTTAGGAAACCGGTCAGTTCCAAGTCCAGGAGCCCAGGCCTGATCCAAGCCAGGTCGCCATCAGACGGAAGCTTCTGAAGTCCACACCGTCCTCCAAAGGCCACCGACTCAGCTCGTGCTCCACTTCGCCAGGGGACCTTTCACAAACGGAACCTGATGCTTTCCCAGACATCACAGCAACATACAGCCACTCTCCACGCCTCCCAAGTTGGATGAGGGCTGCTTCCACTTCCTGCCGCGATAGCTTTCCGCTCTGGTCCACGTCGATCTCCTCGAACTTGGCCTTCAGCTGCTCCTGGATACGCGATGTCACAGTGATGTCTGCAGCGCTGCAGCACAGATCAGAGCTGAAACTGCAAACTGACGGTTTTCGTATGTTTTCTATGAAGCCCTGTGTCCTCCGACATCGTCGGGGACACCAGGGAGGACAGCGCGGAAACACGTTGAGAGACACGGCTCCACAAGGACGAGCGCTTTGATGGGCTGGAGGCAGGGCTGGGCTCGCGACCCAATAGCTCCAAAAAGCCAGGGAAGTCCAGCTCCTGATCGTCGGGCATGCCAGCAACCTTAAGTAGACAAAGCGGAATCAGGCAGAGTGCTCAGCCTCCTATTCCAGCCCGCAAGCTTCAATGAAAAATCAGGGAGCTAGATCCTCTATCTGCTTCTGGCTTTTGCCGTAGTCTGCCAGCGCATCAGCAATCTCCTGCTATGCACGCTGGAGGTGGTCGAAAGGCAAGAGCCGAACGTTGCTGCTGTTGCTACACTCACTCAATCGTTCTCTCCCATCTGTTGCAACGCGTGGTCGCAAGGGTCTGCGTCACAAGGGTCCAGTCGCAGTACATGGCTGTGACTGTGTGTGTGTGTGTGTGACACATACTTCACCATTGCTACAAGAGGTGGAAGCTGTCCAAATTGCCCGATCCGGTCGTTCACCACAGAAGCTAAACCAGTGGGGGCCAGGAAAGGCACAGGCCAGGTGGCCGACATTCCACTCCCCGTTGCATGTAAGCTGGAGAACCTTGCTAACAAACCCTACTATCGATCAACACTAGCACACGCGAGCGCTGACGATTCTTACAAAGATGTTTCGACGAAGTCCTGTACGTACGGATCTCCTGTACGTTACACGTCCTGTCGGTAGCCTGTCAGCCAGACTGTTGATCCACGCAGGATCGTCATAGGCAGCTCTGGACACAGGCGGGTCCCACGAAACACTGTTTCCTGTCGGAAAGGCTCCCGGAACCAGGGCAAAATTCATGCAGGTTGAGTGAACGAGCCTTGGACGATCAGACACCAGTGAACCCAACCCATTCAAATGCACTTTGTCAGCCGGCAGGTTCCGATACAAAGGTTGGCAACAGTTGTCACGGACACGCAGTCAGGAAAGCCCGATCAAGCCCGATCCTGTGGCAAAATGACAACAAGACCGTTGACTTCTGCATCTACAACGACACCCACAGTCAGGCGCCGCTTGTGTTTGTTTTCATGTCGGACAAAGCACACATCACCGTAAGCTGGCGCCGCCTCGACGAAAACTGCAGCATCTTGGAGAGAACTGGCCGAACCCTTCAAGTCGAAAAGTTTCAGTGCCACCAAGTGGTCGCCCTAGAGCAGTGTACTTTAACACTGGGCCGCTTCGGCCAAGCCTCCTCCGACAACCTCAAGTGCTCACAATCGCTCGAACCCTGACAGCGCAGAAATCTCCTCGGTAGCCACCTGCACCGACGGAGGACTGCAAAGCCCAAGCCAGCTAGGGCTACGGTCACTTTCTCTTGGTTCATGGCCAACCGAGCACTTAGCAAGCCGCGCGAGAAACCGCAGCAGGACAAAGCCATGGCGAACAGAGGAGTGCGAACCGAGAGTGGTTGCTCCCTTGCCGCCAAACATCAGAAACTCCGTCAAGAGCTCCGGCGCAGCGCTCCGCATAAGCCCAAATTGAGATGAGAGGTAGAAGATTGCAGCTTGCATCTCTCCTTCTTCTCTCTCTTCTGCCTCCGCCTCTTGATGCCTCTGGATGCCTCTTGTTCCCTGTGTCCTCCCGGCCCAGGAGCTGTCCGAAGGCATCTGTGTCGATCTTGCTAAATGTTCGACCCGCCTTGGACATACCAACCGATGCTTCCTCTGCATCGCGCGGAGTTCCAAAGATCTCTACGGACAGAGTCACTGGCCTTGCCGGCGTCGACCTCTGCGTTCGTCTTGAAGTTGGGAAGCCATGAAGATCGGCGTGCTTTAGCCATCTGCCTTCCAGACAGATGCGAAAGGAGCGCCTTTCTGAACCCAAACCCATGCAATCACACGCACACCCGACAGTTAAGGTAGCAGGAATGGAAGCGCCATGAAGTGCCTGAATGTGAGGAAGTCGACACCTTCTTCCGGGGGCCAGCCTCCCAGCTCCTCGTGATGTTCCATTACGTCACGGCTGCAAGAGTTGCTCTTTTTGCGGGTAACCCTGCATGATTCTTGCATGACAGCTCCTGCTCGATTTCTGCATGTGATCGCCCCATCTTCCGCAGCGCTTCTTCTGCCTCTTGCCTCGGAGGGCCGGCCAGACATCGCTGGAAGGGCGAAGACGTAAACGTTTGCTCCCTCAAAGCTTTCGCGACTGAGCCCCCAAACCGGGACAACTTGCCACTCTCGTCCATGTCAAGCTCGGAGAACTTATCTCGAAGCTCATCATCGGACAGCCCAGCCGACCTGGCGCTAAACCGGTGATTCCAAACGCCGCATCGTTGATATCGTTGATGTTGTGGCGGACACGCAATGTTTTGTGAACCCTTCATCAACTGCTTTGCTCCGAAGCCTGGAGAAGGATGGGATCCATCGAGACTTGCTTGTCCTAGCCAGTGTCCAAAGCGGGCAACAGCTTGTTCCCCTGTGAGTTCCCTCTCACCGCGAGCTCAGCGAGCCAGCCTCAAGTCTCGGTGGCCAACTTCGGCAGACCCATCGTTGCCTGGCTGGCAACGCAACAACTGTGATCAGCCACTGGTGAGATCTGGTGAGATCTGGCTGCTTGCTGTTCAAGCTGCGGACACCAGGCACAAGGGGCGCATCTTCAACGCAGTCCATGGCCTGCAAGTCCGAAGTGAATCCCCCGAGGAATGCTGAGCACTGCAAGATCGTCGGGCCTTGCCCAAGGTGGGAAGCCACAGCGGGAGCACGCGCATGCGGCCAACTCGTGAGGCCGAACCTTCCAGCGTGGCCACCACACCTCAAGAGAGGAGCCTACGGAAATTTATGGGACTTTAGGGATTCGGCCCAACTGCCACCTGGCAACGGATGAGCTGTGCCAGCTCTTGGGGAATGTGCTTTGGAAGGTCCTTTTGCGAAATCGCAGACACCAGAGAATCTCGTGAAGGTTCTGGAAACCCGGCTCTGAAAATCTCTGAACTCTAGAGGGATCCCTAGAGATCCTCCTCCTCTCCGAAAGATCTCTGGACCTCTGGGCAAACAAGGATGTCCATGGCCAGCGTGGAGACTGCCAGTTGCATTAAACCAGCATCCGTGTCCTCAGCTGTGCAGAATCCTGCCTGCCCTGGACGAAAAAGCCCCGGGTTGGGTAAGAACGAAGGAGAAACGAAGGGGAGGGGGGGGGGCCTTCTTGGTTCTCAACTGCAAACGTCGCAGGCATGAAGTCGCCACGGCCACCTGCATGGCAGTTTCGAGCACAAGGGCCCTTGCCTTGCCCAAACGAGGCCATCTGAACCTCCCCCTTAAACTATAGTGGCCTGGAGCCTTAAGGATTGCAGGCAAGGTCCGACGCAAGCAACAGAAGATGATGCAAAACACAGCTGATGTTTCATAAACCTTCATGGCAAAGACCCTACCGCTTTGGTCTGCGGTTTTGGTTTTGCCTCAGAAGATTCCCTGCATGAAGACATTGCTGCAGCCCCCAAAGCGCGTGTTCTGTTGCCCCACCTCGACTGGGCGCTGTGCAAAAGCGCTGAAGAGAGTCCGCAAGTCCTAGCAGGGGAACAGAAGTGAAGCGAATGAGAGGACAATACTGTGGCGGTCAGATGACTGATATGACGACCCAGCACGCCTCCAGCTGATTGCGGTCAAGTACAGTGACTGAGCCCCAATCCAACAACACCAGCGCATTGTCCTCACAAGACACTCAGCTTGTAAACTGCTGTATTCACTGCTGTATTCAGTTGAGTTCCATTCTATATCTTGCTCCTCCGAGATCATGAGGTTGCCGGGATGTGGGTCCTCGAACTTTTTAGTTCCCTGGTCTCTATCCAAAAACTATGGCGTACTGATGCTGTCCTTGACTGAGACCCAGCTGCTCTGACTCAAAAAAAAACATCACGGTCTACAAGCCACGGGGCTGAGTGGAACCATCCGAGACCCAGGGTGAAGACGCCCCAAAGTCGCCTGAGAGGATCGATGGCGTTACGAGGCTGCGACTGAAAAACACTCGAATTCGGATTAACCAAGCGGCAAAACTCTGCGCAGCCACATTAGCTTGATGGTATGAAGCATCCGAGAATCCTGCGTGCTAGACCAATCAGCTGATGCCGCTGCAATTTGCTTGATATCCGCAGTCCTGGTCGAGAAGGTCCTTGAACAACATGCCACGCTCCCGTGTCATTATCATCACCTGTGCCACACACACAGCCTTCTGAAATCTCATCATCATCTAGCTGTCAACAAGCACATTCATAACATCCGACATGCTGGGTGCTTTTGTCCGAGACTTGTGGTACACGAATCTCGAAGTCACACTCCTAGCAAAGCAAGGCAATGTTCAAACGTCGCTGAGACAGAGTGCGCACTTTGGATCGGCTCCTCGCCCAACAATGCTTGCGCCCGGGGCAGCGCGGCTACAGCCAAGCGAAGACGCTGCTGCTCACCACGCAAGTCAAACTCAGCCAGTATGTGCTCCTGCGAAGGTTTGAGGTCACCCTGGAGCCTAAGCTTCAACTTTCAAGCCCGTCTACTCCCCGATGAAGGCTACCAGCAAGCGTCCTTGATTGGTCCTGCAACGTACTGAACGTCTGCAAGAATTGACTTCTGGAGGCCTGGTAGCTTCACCAACGCCTCGCAAAAGGAATCGAAAGCTTCTGACAACGACTGGGTCAAAAACACGTGGCATCCACTGCCGTGACCTTCAGCCAAGAGAACTGCCGCTGCATTTCACGCTTCTTCTTCGACAGGGCCACCTTGACAGCAACCAAGTGTTTGCAGCTCTTCGAGGCCACTTGAAGACCCTGCCTTGACGACGTGACCATCTCCACAGAAATGCACCTGGCGACGATGTGGCTGTGCAACGCCGAGCGTGAGCGCAAAGCACGAAATTATGCGTGCATGCCAACACCCAGGAACCAACAGACAAGAACGGGGCAGAGCGCCAGGCCTGCCCCACACTGCCCGTGGACAATGGCTCCTCCTGTGTTGACAGCATCTATGGTAGAGATGAAATCCCAATGCAGACCCACTTCTCGAAGCATGACGAATGCGGATGTCAGGCAGGCTGCATGACATTTAGCAGAGACGATACGCTGCGCTCAAAGCGCCACGAAAGCTGTCCTGCAGGCCACCCAGAGCCTCGATGTGTGCAGAGAGCCCATCCCCACCTGAAAAGCCGGCAAGGCTCTGCTGAAGCTTGTGCTGGAAGCACGTGGCAGTATATGCCCAGTGGCTGATGATGCTTTGGATCCTTGCAGGTGTTAGCTCAACCCAGGACAAAGTGACATTCAAAGGGGGGCAGGGTCAGGCTGCTGCCAGCCTGCGAACGCACATCTTTGTCAACTAACTTTAGTATGACCAAATGTGGTGATACTTGCGACTTCGCCAAGGCACTCCTTGAATGGGACCGGCTCACAGCTGACTTGGCACCGCGACAAAGCTTGACGGTAGGTCTTCTCCTTGCACGGTCGCACCCCGCCGGACTTACATGTAGTACTATTTATTACATTGCTGGGAAAAACAGGGTCAGAAGCCAACAATTATCGGCAAAGCAAGGCTTCGCATCCTGAACAATGTCAGGTCGTTCGGCCAACACTTGGCAAGCTTTTGGAAGAATACCACCTGTCAAGAAAGAAACAAAACTACGGCTCTCTCATCCTTGCTACGATGCAACAGAACTTCCGACGATGCTTTCAGAGGTGAATATGAAAAGTGCAAAGTTTCTCCAGCATGTTGACTTCGCAGTTGGCTTTCAAATGTGACTCACGAGTTGCTAGTACCAGTCTGGCTGATGAGGTGGGACATGCGGTCATGTTAGACCAGATGAACCCATGACTCTTACTGGGAGCTTGTACAGCAGAACATGAAAAGAGGTGCCTTCGGCTCAAGCCTAGGTCAAGCTTGGGCAACCTTTCAAAACGGACACCGCATCACTCGATCACGCAGACATTTCAGAAACATGCCCATCTCAAGCCGACCACACAATGCCAAACCTTGGACGCAGTATATCTGACTATCTACACCGTCATGATTGCTCGGCCGGCACTTGCCGGCACTTTCCACACAATGGCAGCCGTCCGCGCATTTGTGCATCTCACTTCCCTTGACATTACCATTGAAGAGTCCAGGACGGCCAATACAAAGCGACAAACTGCAAGTTGCCACACATGGAATGGAATTCTCATGTTTGCTTCCCAGCATGCTCAGATACACACGAGGATCAACAAGCGGACACAGCATGACAGAAACCACAGTGTGCCTTCAACGATCACCCAGTCAACGAAGGCTTGTGCTTCCAGTTCCAAAGACCACGAGGCCGTCGTTGCACCATCAGCATCCCTGCCATACCACTCTTTTCAATCAAGAAGCCCACAAGAATCTTCGAGAAACACCGCACTTTAGAATCGACGTTAAAAACGATTCTATTTTCACTACAAGACCTGGCATTGACATGGGGCATCATGAAAATAAAAACGGAGCCTGGCTCGGAGCAGCTTGACGAACGTGCAGAGTTGTGGTGTACCTGCACAATGCATTGACTGCAGAATGTGAACGAATTTGCTGCGAGAACGAGGAGCCTTTTAAGCCCCATGTTTTGCCAAGCCCTCGGACGGCCCAGTCCATGGCCACACAGCGAACATGGCCACACAGCGAGCATCTTTGTGGGTGTGTGCAACCAGCCTATGCTGAAAAGTAAAACGACCATGTTGCTTGCTGTGTAGCTCAATTTCATGAATACCGCACATACCTTCGTTGTTCTTGCCTCCCAGGTGACCATTGCAAAACACTCACGTCCAAACATGAGTGATGACATGTTCGCAAGTACTACCTGCGCATATCCAACTTGAACGAGCGTCCCGCAACGTCTGTCAACATCCCCCGGGAGGGCGGGGCGGGAAAAAGTTACCACGGCTCGAGCTGGAAAACTCACATCCAATAAAATCAAGTTCCAAACCATGCTGATTTGATCACCACATGAAATAATCTTCAAGCTTCAGGACTTAAGCATCCATTTTCAATGGAGGAATAACTGAAGTTCAATCCCTGATTGCCAAACAACTGCAAGGCATTCCAGCAATCTGAGCGACCAGACACCACGGGGGATTGGAGGACCAGAGTGCGTCCTCCAAGAAAGGAAACTCCGGACCAGAACTGCAAGGCGGGCAGCGGAGGATGCAGGCTGGTAGCCACGAAAACCGCTGCAGGGTGGGCAGCCGAGAAAGCCACTTTTGATGGGAGGGGCAATTGGGAGTGTGAAAATGAAGCTGCGGGGCATGCAGCTGAGAACACCAACAACTGGCAAGCTGCAGGGCGTGCCGTTGAAACCATCACCTCGTGGCAACTATCTGAAGCTGAACAGAACATGCCACCACGTGGCAAGCTTTTTTTCAACACGAAAGCTGCGGTTGAGCAGCCGCCAGACCCAACGCGTTCCCAAGCAGTTAAGGAAAACAAATCTATAGAAACCATTGATATGATGCTCTCACTGGGAAGTATTACGGTATGAATGTCTTCTTCGGCTGCTGGGCTTACTGAAGAGAACTTGCCATCAAATTATGTCATCTGTAACCTGCGGGAGCGATCTGCACAGCATAGTATTGTCCATATGTATATGTATATCATCGAGGAGCTTCCATGATATTGCAGAGAGAGAGAGAGAGAAGTCATTCCCTGGTAAGGGAGCGGGCACCCGCGTGGTCTCCACCCCCAGGAGGGTTAAGACGCAAACGGGGCGAAGGGCTCCGAAAACGTCATGGCCCCTCACACAGCAGAAGCAAGCAAAGGCAAGAGCAGAATGGTTAAAGCAACCTTTGTGACAAATTGCGGATCGCGTGGAAGCCCATGCGCAACGCCAACAAATGCGAGGGAAGCAGGGCCAGGATGTAGATGTTGTCCAAGCTTGCAACGGCCAGCAGCCGACACCATCGTGGCCGAAAGTGGGCTCGGGGAGGGCCACCAGCTGCCCCTTGTCAGTTGTCCAACGTGCTCATCTTTGTAATGGGTTTGGGGAGGGCCACCAGCTGCGCCGCCAGCTGTCTTAGCAAGACCCAAGCGTACCCCCAGCGAAAGTAGGGTAAGGGAAGGCCACGCCAGTCCAACGTGCACCATCGTGGCCCAGGTGCGCCCTTAGCCGCACCCCAGCGAAAGTAGGGTAAGGGAAGGCCATGCCCACTCCAGGGCCCAGATGCCGAGATGTAGATGTTGTCCAACGTCCACCAGCTGCCACCATCGTGGCCCAGGTGCGCCCTTAGGAGTTCTAGCAAGACCCAAGCGCACCCCCAGCGAAAGTAGGGTAAGGGAAGGCCACGCCAGGGCCAGGCCACTCCAGGGCCGAGATGCCGAGATGTAGATGTTGTCCAATGTGCGCTCATTTTGCAGTGTTTGGGGAGGGCCACCAGCTGCCACCATCGTGGCCCAGGCGCGCCCTCAGAACTGAAGGGAGGGACGTTGGGGAAGGCACTGTCGCTCTAGCGCAGCCAGGGAGGGAAGAAGCGGCTCCTCTTCGAGCCTGAACCACAGGGCTCTTCGCGCCGGTCGGTCCCCCTTCAACCGGCACCAGCCCCGAATGTTAGGGCAGGCAAGGCTCTGGCCAAAAATGCCCTTTTTTGGTGGTGGGCAGGCCCGGCCCTGGCCCTGGCCCTCGGCCTTGCCCTGGCCCTGGCCCTCTGGCCCTGGCCCTCTGGCCCTGGCCCTCTGGCCCCGCCAGGGCCAGGGCCGTGGCCGGGCTGGTTTGGCCCTGGGTCTGGGCCCTGGCCCTGCCCCTCTGGCCCTGGCCCTCTGAAAACGCGGAACGGCGCTGGACCCTGCTCGCCGGCTGCCAGGTTGGCCATTCTGGACCAGATCTCCGTGAGCAGCACGGGACTTGCGGAACATGTCCAGGACAGTGGTTCCTGTAGTAGACAGACCTCTTTCAGGGGGGTGCCCAGTAACCTGTCCCGCCGTGCTGTGGGTGCCTGACCAGTTGCAGAATGCGAGGCCGCTCGCAAGAGACACATCTCCCGTGAAGCCTACTGTGCATCTCAGCGAGTGATACTCTAAGCATCCTTGCCGCAGGTACCTCAGAAGTAGACGGCGGCAGTGCGCGTCGGGCATTGGGCCGTGCGGAGATCATCTGTCAGCATTGCTGTCCAGGAACACCCTTTCAGAAAACAGTTAGACGAGCATACCAAGCTACAGAACGAGAAGGTGCCCTGCAGCAGGCAATGTCAAATGCACAGGAATGTTAGCATCGACGTGAAGGCGAGCTTCCGCAACATGTACAGTGTGAGGCCTCCGTCTCTCAAAGACGGATGCACTGCTGCCGGGCACATACAACTAGAAGATGCAAGGCCACCAATGCCGACGCGTCACCCGCTCGTTGTTGACGTTGACGATGTAGCCTCAGAACTGGCCATAACAACATACCACAAGATGCCATAAGAACTCACGTGACACGTCTACCCTCGTCTACCCTCGTCTACCCTCGTCTACCCTCATCTACCCTCATCTACCCTCATCTACCCTCATCTACCCTCATCTACCCTCATCTACTCTCTACTCAAGCAAGCCCAAACAAAACTCAACAAAACCCCCTAAACTTCCCCTAAACCCCCTAAACCCAACCGTTATTTCCCCCCCCAAAAAAAAAAAATTCTCCCCCCCCCAATCCAAAAAAAAAAGAAAAAAAGCATCTCCAACTTCCCCGCTTAGTGCACCTTTGGTGTGCAGTGGCAGCTTGGACCGATCCACCAGCACCGCACGCTGTGCAGCAGCGACCGACAGCAAGAGGAGCACCTTAGAAGAAGCACTTTTTTAAATTAGTATAAAGATGATGAGCATGCTAAAGAAAAAACTTGGTAAGCACTTAAAAACTAAAGGTTGTGTTTGTAAGTTAGGAAGGGTCTCTGGATATCTTGGGATGGGTTTGGATGGGTTCGGATGGGTTTAGGGTTTGTGGTTGGAGCGCTGTGTCGGGGCTTCATATTGGGGCTCTGGACAAACTTTTTCGCTCGGATTTCGTGAAGCCACACAGAGAAAGAACATCGAAGCCATTATGTCCACACGCAATAGTACCGCAATCTCACATCCTCTCTCAGAATGCAGAGCTTTATGCCAACCGGACCTGAGACATAACTTTGTCGTTTTGCATTCTTCGTTTGCACTTGCATGAGAGATGACCTCCACAACAACATCCGAAACTTGGCGTGTGCCAACACGCCCCCATTGGGTCTTCCTGCCAAGAGGCCGACCACCTCCACATATCACCTGTACACAGTCTTGCGGACAACTACACAAGCCAATTTGATCAATAGTCTGTATGAGCTGTCAATATGCTCGCTACCCCATTGCGCCTACCTTTGCGAAGCTCATACTGCTGGCTTTCACTGCCCGCCTGCGCTGTCAGCATGCTACCAGGTGCGAGCTTCCATTCATGCGTGAGCTACCTCTTCTGCTCTAACAACCTGCCACGCATTATCACTTCATACAGTGAACACCTGCGCACGCTTGTTGTAGGAGTAGCTTGCTGAAGTTTCTTGCTTGTGCTGCATGAGACGAACTGGTTCCAAAAGATGGTGGTGCAAAAAGTAATCTCGGTCGTACCTTCCAAACACACATGTGTCGGCCAACATGTTATTGCTGCTACTTGCAAGCATAGGTCGGCGGATGCTTTCTCCATGGAGAGTGCCGTTTCGATGTCCCAGAAGGATCTCAGCCGCTCTGGGCCTCAAAATGGAGTGATACATTCGCTTGCATGGACGCGCCCCTCAGAGGCCACCTGCGCGAGAAAGTGCTGATGATTGCTCTCCAGATGCCAGCGCAGCATCTCGGCAAACTCGGAAGCATGCACACTGGGCGACGTGCTTTCCCAACGCACCATCTGCAAGCTTCTTCGAGGCGCGGGACTAAAACTACGGAGCGTCTTGACAGACATGCGAATGGAGCCCAGTGCTGGAAGCCGAAGGTTGGTGACCAACTGGTCCGATGTTTGAGGTGCTGAGACTGATTCGGACGGTGCACTGGTGGCATTGGAGGCATCGCTGGTTGCGGACTGACGTTCGCGAAACGGATCGAGACGTCATGGAGAGAACAAACGGAGATGCCAGAATGCCAACGCCGTCAATGCTGGCTCCTGACAGACCTCGAGTGACCGAGGAACACATGACCCGGGAAGACTCAAACTGGACTCAGACTGGAGAGGGTCTTCTTGCATGGGTACTCAAAGCAGTGTTCCCACGCCGGCATCCCAACACACATCAATGTCGCTGAGTTCACACAGTCTATCACACTCCGCTCCTCAAGCATCCTTGAAGCGTCCCGCATACATCGAAGCTTCAAGCTTCCCTGGGCTGATGGGACTTGGGACTGTGCGGGATGTCTCAGACTCTCTCAAGCTTCGTGGATGTTGAGACTGTCACGCGGTACGTCTGGACCCTGAATTGCTGTAATTGCTGTCGCTCTGAGCCCTCGTCCTTGTTGGCCTTCAGTTCGTGAAGCTTCTATCTGCGCAGGTCCATGCCAGCACAGCTGTGTCCTGCTTCACATCCCCTACCAGACCACACAAGGCCCTGACAGTTGCCATTTTCTCTGAAAGGCCTGGGACCACACTTAAGCCCTCTGCTTTATGTCAAGGGCCGTGCCACAGA